ACGATATATATATATGTATACATATGTATATACATATGTATGTATATACATGTATATATAGTACATGATGGAAGTTGTCATTAGATTTTTCAGTAGACTCAATGGTGACCTATGAGTACAGAGAACTGCGCCGTAGGGTTTTCAGTGTTGTGATCTTTTGAAATCAGATGGCCAGACCTGTCTTCTGCGGCATTTCTGGGTGGGCAGCCTTTTGGTTAGCATACTGCCTCAAACCCCTGTTGATTACAGATACCCAGGCAGCATTCCAAAAACCAAACCTGACTCATAGATATCCCATCGGATAGAAGTACTCGAGTTTCAGGCTGTAAATGTTTGAAAGAAGGAGATTACCTGTTCTTTCTCCTGTGGAGCGACTGGTTGGTTTCAACCACTGAATTTTTGGTTCACAGATCAATGCCCATTGAGCCACCAGAACTTCTGGAAGTATGCCAGTCTTTTCTTCTACATTTTTTCCTTTGTTTTTGTTCTATTTGTCATGTTGTCTGTAAGTTATTTCAAATCCCATTTGGACTATATGAAATATTAAATAAGTTCAGTTTCTGACAGTTGCTAGTTGTTCAGAGAGTCATTGTACCATAGTTTTGTGGGGAAGTATTTACCAACATCAGTCATAATAGGTTTCTCTAAGGTACAAGAATAGGTAGAAGGTTTTCCCCCTCTATTTAAAAATATTTATTGATGGTCCAGGTTAAGTGTTTTAGATAACTTGTTTTTATTTGTGAATACAGTGAGCAACTTAGATTGATCAGTTTCCTGTCTTTGGGATTCTTAGTTGAGTGCATTAAATAATGCTAGCTTGGTCATTTTGCAAAGGTTCAACATGCTGTTCCATCCATCACCTTGAATTTGTTTCTGGAATCACCTTTTTAAAGCAAGAAAATAATATTATTTAAATGAGTAGATACATTTCCATGCAACTCATCATTTTCTGTGAAAGCAATTAATGTCTGACGTTTCTCAATGTAGGGCAAGGCTTCGCACTTCGAAGAAAATTGAAGATACAGCAAAGTTATAAGAAATTGCTGTGGAAGAAAAAAAAGGCTGAAACTTTACAGGAATCCCAGTTTACAGATCGATACCCAGATCATCTGAAACATCTCTATTTAGCTGAAGAAGAAAGGCTCAGGAAGCAGATTAGAAAATCTCATCAGCCTTTGCCAGAAGAACAAACTGACCAGCCTTTGCCAGAAGAACAAACTGACCAGCCTTTACCAAAGGAGCAATGTAACATTGACCAGCCTCAACCAGAAGAACAATGTGGCAAAACAGTAAAGTACGTTTATCTTTTTTTTTTTTTTTAATCTTTTGTTGTTGTTATTAAATGCTGCCGAGTTGTCTTCGACTCATAGTGACCCTGAATAGGGTTTCCAAGTATCAGCTGGTGAATTTGAGCTGCTGACCTTATGGTTAGCAGTCCAGTGCCTATCCTACAGACCACACCAGTCCAGGACTCCTTTGTTGTTGCCAGGTGCTGTCAAGTTGGTTCCATCTCAGCTTGTATAGGGTTTCCAAGGAGCAGCTGGTGAGTTTTAACTGCTAACCTTACATTTTAAATCAACCTTGTGGTTCAGTGCTTATCCTACAGTGCCACACCAGGACTCCTTTGTTGTTGTTGTCGTTAAGTGTCGTTGAGACCCATAACGACCCTAAATAGGGTTTCCGAGAAGCAACTGGTGAGCTTGGACCACCGACTTACAGTTCAAACCAGTTTTGCAGTCCAGTGCATTAGTTCACAATGCCACAACATGATTCCAGGACTCCTTTAGTAGTGTTTTGTTAGAGGACTTTGGTGGTGCCATGGTTAAAGTGCTCGATTGCTAGACAAGAGGTCAGTGGTTCAAACCCTAGCTGTTCCGTGGGAGAAAAATACAGCGATCTTCTTTTGTAAAGATTATAGCAAGTACTGTGACAGTTCTACTCTGTTGTATAGGATCACAGACCCACACCAACCACAATGACAATGTTGTGGGCCTGTGCCTAAGGAGAACAAGCACAGGTAGCGTTGTTGTTATTACGTGCTGTGGAGTCGGTTCCGACTCATAGCGACCCTGTATAGGGTTTCTGAGGCTGTAAATCTTTACAGGAACAGAAAGCCTCATCTTTTCCACGCGTCTCAGCTGGTAGTTTCGAACTGCTGACCTTACGGTTCACAGCCCGATCCGTAACCACTACGCTACCAGAGCTCAGGTAGTGTAGTGGTTACAAATCAGGCTGCAAACCTCAAGGTCAGCAGTTCGAAACTACCAGGTGCTTCGTGGAAGAAAGATGAGGTTTTCTGCTCCCGTAAAGATTTACAGCCTTGGAAACCCTATACAGGGTCGCTATGAGTCGGAACCGACTCGACGACACTTAACAACAACAACAACAACTCATGTATATAGTTGTAAAAAGTTGAAAGACTGGGGAAAAACATTGTCAATGAATCTGTCCCCAAATGGTTTAGATCAGCCTGTGTGGGCTAGACACCTTTCAAAGAATTGAGACATACTTCAGGCTGTTGCTAAGTCCTGGCAAGTCAGTTTAGACTTACAATGACCCTGTATTAGGTTTCCAAGGAGTGACTGGTGAGTTTGCACTGTCAATCTTGTGGTTCAGATCAACCTTGCAGTCCAGGGTTATCCTACAGCATCACACCAGGACTTCAAGATTGTTGTTGTTAAGTACTGTGTGGAGTTTTTCCTAACTCATAAGACCCTGGATAGGGTTTCCAAAGAACAGCTGGTGAGTTTGAACTGCCGACTTTGCTATTCAAACCGACCTTGCGGTAAAATGCTTATCCTATAGCACCACACCAAGACTCTAAGACAGAACACTTTTAAATGGAGTCTGGGTTCAAGGTATGGTCATGACTGAGTAGATAAAATGTGTAGAAATGAGACTGTCAAAGAAGTTTGCATATGCTTATACACACACATCTTTTATAACCGCATCCTTCAATTAATGCCTTTTTAAAACTATTTCTAGATTTTTGTTGTTTTCAATGTTTTGTGATCTCTCAAAGCTTTCTGTGTTTTCTATGATTAAAATATTTCTCCAATGATCTCCATTTTGTTGTTGGTTACCTTCAAGTTGATTCCGACCCCATTGCATAGACCCTGTTCCATAGGGTCTTGGCTGTAATCTTGATAAAAGAAGATTGATACATCTTTCTCCCATGGAATGGCAGGGTGGGTTTGAGCTGTCAACCTCTAGGTTAGCAGCTGAGCACTTAAGTGTTGTGCCTCCTGGACTCCTTATAACTATATTTTGAAAATATTATTACTTGGACATTTTACTAATAAAAGAATATCCTGTTTCTCCCTGTTTTTCTCACCACCAATTTGCACTAGTACAGTTTTTCTGTACAAATTTTATAAGTACACATAGATTTGGTTATTTTGTATCCTTGTAACTTATTTTTATTAATTTATCTTATAAAGCTCCTTTGCTTTTCAAAAGAAAAATAAAAGGAAAACATCAAATCAAAAAGCACAAGAAGAATATGCACAAGTACAAGCCAAGCGAGCTGCTAAGAAACAAGTAAGTAGTTCTACTTTTAAAATACTTTGCTTCATTTTCTTATTTTAGGTGCATGTTGTAGTTGTTGTTAGGTGCCATCAAGTTAATTCTGATTCATAGTGACCCTATATAGGGTTTCCAAGGAGCATCTGGTGGCTTTGGACTGCTGACCATGTGGTTCACAGTTTAGTGCTGACCCTGCAACACATAAACTCTCTTTCTAAGTGTTGTGCACATAATAAGCCTTCAGTGAATATTTGTTGAATGAACAAGTGGTCTGAGCAGAGTGCTCTCAACATTCATATTCATCAGTTATATATATTATTTCAAAGAGGAGATACTAGTAGGTCAAGAATAGAGCTAACTCTTAGGTTAATAATTGGAACATCTAAAACAGTTTTTCTCAGAGTATGCTGTAGGAACCTGCATTTCTAACAAGTATGAGATTCTTATGTACAATAATATTAGAGAACCACTGAACTAAGAAAAATACAATTTTAAGTGTTTACATTGAAGCAAGTAAATCAAATAGAATTTAAAATTGAATATTTAAAAATATTTCTTTAATACAAAGAATTGGTCTTGCTTGTTGAAAAGCCTGCATTTTTAACTTATCAAAAAGCTCTTACTTTCAGAAACAGAAAGTTGCAAAAGACTTAAAAATTATTGCTACAAAATTATTTCCAAGCAGTGGCTGGTAGGTTTGAACTGACGGCCTTGTGGTTAGCAGTCAGGTGCTTATCTACAGTGCCACACCAGGACCCATAATTGATGTACAATTGGTTCAAACATAGGAATGATTGTGAGTATGGTGTAGTACCGGTGGAGGTTTGTTCTCTTGCGCATAAGGTCACTGTGAGATGGAACTGACTCAGTGGCACCTCACAACAATTGATGGTAAGAATATTGAATGGTTTTTGGCTTTTTGGTTTTGTTTTAGAGAAACTGCTTTTTTTTTTTTTTTTAGGCAAACAACTTTGTGACATTTATATTCCATTGCACAGATAGGAGTTATACAAATTAGTAACACAAACTAGTTTTTAAATTCCAAACATTTTCAAAAATGATTACAGTAAGTGCCAGGGATATTAAAACATCAAGTTGGAAACCATAATCTAGAGTTAAAACTAGTAAAAACTAGACTCCATATATCTAAATTCAGAACTTAGGTACCATGTACCTAAGTTCATGTGCATAATAAAACAAGTTCTTCTACACCACGTAAGAATATAATTTTAAGTGATGTAGCTTAGTAGAATTCAAGACAGAAATATAAAATTCATCTCTGCCAGTGATCTAGGACTCTGGGCAAGTCATGTTCATATCTCACTTAGATTTAGTTCTTTAGAGGATATGGCTAATAATCTCATGTATGTTTTAAAAGAATGGAATGTGTTAGGATGTAAGTAAAAGCATTTTATAAGTTAACAGTCACCATACAAATGCGTTGTTTTGGGACCATATGTGATTACAGGGGAAATCAAAACATAATTCACTTATATTATTTGAAGAACTTTTGTTTCACTTTTATATTTAGTAAATATCTTTCACTTTTATATTTAGTAAATAACTTAACATTTTGAGTGTTATTTTCTGCTCAGTATATAACTTTAAATGATTTTTTCCCATACTCAGGACGAATTTGAGTCTTTTGTATTACTAGCAAATCAAATGAGCATGAGAATACTTCAAAATTTTTCAACCAAACTGCCTAGCAAAATGTTTTGAACATATGACAGTGCTTAAAAAAATTCATGAAAAATTCCATTATATTTTAATTCCATTTTTCTGTGAACTTTTTGAAGCACCCTCTTCTATTGTCATCGTGTTTTTGAGTTGAACCTGTGACTTGGTCAGATGACAAAAAGGATACCATATATACAGCTTTCTGGAAGGGACGATTTCAGTGTTAGAAAATTAGACTATATAACCTTTAATTTTCTTTCTGGCTCTTCTAGAGTCTATGGTTAAATGCCTCTAGCATTCTGTCTTACAAGATTAAGTAATAGCCAATTGAAAAAGCAGTACGATACCAGAGATAAAAATTTAATAGTGAAATCCTTACTTAAATGTATATCTTCTCCTGTTATTCACATTGAATAATTGAAATGTTCATAAGTTCACATTATTTCATGTTACAGTAAGAAGGCAAAGAGGATATACTACTTCAATTGCAGGAAAAAAATCTTATTTTACAAAATATAAAGCCAACCTTAAATTATTTGCATGGTGGTGGTGGTGATATGCTGTGATGTCGGTTCCGACTCATAGTGACCCTGTATAGGGTTTCCGAGGTGGTAAATCTTTACAGGAGCAAAAAGCCTCATCCTTATCCTGCAGAGCAGCTGGTAGTTTCGAACTGCTGACCTTGAGGTTAGCAGCCCGACTCATAACCACTATGCTAGTAATTTCTGATCTGTATTAGCTTATTGCTACTAATGAAAATCACATATGTTAATAATTTCAGGAATTCGAAAGGAGAAAACAAGAGCAAGAAGAAGCTCAAAGACTCTACAAAAAGAAGAAAATGGAAATGTTCAAAATATTGAGCAAAAAGACTAAAAAGGGCCAGCCAAATTTGAATTTACAAATGGAATATCTTCTTCAAAAAATACAAAATGGAAATTAAATCACCAATTTGTCCATAATCAAGGATTAAAATATCTGCTATCTATCTCTTGAGTTATTTGTGTATATTATTGTTAAGTGCTGTCAAGTTGATGCCGACTCATAGTGACCCTGTATAGAGTTTTTGAGACTCAGCTGGTGGATTTGAGTGGCCGGCGGCCTTGTGGTTCACAGTCCATTGCTGATTCTGCAGCACCACAACAGGAGTCTTTTGTGTATATTGTGGTTTGGGGTGGTTAAGTACCATTGAGTCATTTTTGACTCATAGCAACCCTATGTAGGGTTTCCAAGGAATGGCTGGTGAGTTTGAACCACCAACCTTGTGATTCAAACTGACCTTGTGGTCCAGTGTTGGTCCTACAGCACCACACCAGGACTTTGTTGTGTATATTGTGGTTTGCTGTGGTTAAAATGCCATCGAGTCATTTTTGACTCATAGCAACCCTATATAGGGTTTCCGAGGAGCAGCTGGTGAGCTTGAACCACTGATTTGATTCAAACTGACTTTTCAGTCCAGCACATTACAGCACCTTTGTATATTGTTAAGTGCCGTTGAGTCGATTCCGACTCATAGTGACCCTGTTTCCGAGGAGCAGCTTGAATTCAAACAACTGTGCAATCTGATGCATTAATCCACATCACTACACCAGGACTCCTCGTGTATACTGTTGTTGTTATGTGCTGTGGAGTCAGTTCAGACTCATAGCGACCCTGTACAGGGTTTCTGAGGCTGTAAATCTTTACGGGACCAGAAAGCCTCATCCTCCCGCGAAACAGCTGGTAGTTTCAAACTGCTGACCGTGAGATTCGCAGCCCGATTCGTAACCACTACACTACCAGAGCTCCTTTATCTTTTAATTACGTTTTTCCATGTATTTTTTTAAGCCCTTTGTATAATGTGCCTCCTAACAATTGAATATAAACTAGATTGCTAAACTATACTGAGTATGATGTTGTTAAGTGACGTGGAGTCACTTCTGACTTAGTGACCCTGCTTAGGGTTTTTGAATAATGACTGGTGGACTTGAGCCAAATAGAGGTACCCTCTTGTATTTGGGAGATGGACTCAAATAATACTTGAGTAATACAAAGTTTGTATGAAATAAATATTTTTTAAATGGAGTAGAGATTTCAGTGGAGTATTTAAATGAAAATTTTCAATTTAGTTATCGGCTTTTATGGTTTTAAAATTCATTTTCATGAGGTAGATACCCCCCCTTGTACTTTTTATTTTAAATTAAATACATGTTACAGGGCGATGGACTTTGCAGAAATGTGGAACAGAGTACTTGAGTGCGGAAACTACCTTCTGCATATAAAGATACTTTTCAGAAACAATTGGTTTAGGAACTCATAGTTTAATATTTATAAATATTATCTTAAAAGGAATCCCATGGGTTGTTATTGTAAGGCGTTTCAAATGGTAATGGAAACCAGCAGTATCATGGCAAGAATGAAACTTTCCAGATTCTGTGGCACACTCTCCTTTTAAGAAGATTGATACGGGAATGTGTTTCCCTGTTGGTAGTCTTGTGAGTCAAGGGGATACTGCTGCTCCTGGCTCAGCTACCTCCTCGGTGATAACTGCAAACTGAGAAAGACTTGACAATCATTACAAGCAAAAGGACTACAATGACAGTCAGTTATAAATCATAGTTGTATAATAAAATTTTACAGGTGGCTCAAATTCAACCTGAAATTGCATGAAGACTCTAAGAGAGCCCATATGGTGGTGGTGAAGTGCTGTTGATTTGGGTCAGACGCAAAGCGACCCTGTTAGAGTATCCGAGGAGCAATTGATGGGTTTCAACCACCCACTTTGCGTTGTCAAGTTAGTTTCAACTCTTAGGGGCCCTATGTACCAAAGAATGCAATACTGCCTGGTCCTGCATCATGCCTACAGTTATTATAATTGAGCCCTTTGTTACTGCCACTGTGTCAATACATCTGGTTGGGGGGGTCTTCCTCATTTTTTGCTGATCCTCCTCTTTACTAAGCAAGGTGTCCTTCTCCAGGGACTGGTTTCTCCTGACAACATGTCCAAAGACAGAGTGTTCGGGCTGTACTTCTAAGACAAATTTGCTTGTTCTGGCAGTCCTCTGTACTTTTGTTGTTAAGTGGCATCAAGTTAGTTCTGACTCAGCGACCCTATATAGGGTTTCCAAGGAGTGAGCTTGAACCACTGACCTTGCAGTTGAAATGACTTTGCAGTCTGACACATTAGCCCACCTTAATTCAAATACAGTTTTTCTGTGTCTTCTGTATTGTTCAACTTTCACATACATATGAGGTGAATGAAGATACCATGGCCTGCGTCAGGCAAACCTCAGTTTCCAAATTGACAGTTTTGTTCATTGACACTTGAGAGAGGTCTTGCAGAAATTTGCCAAATATAATATGTCTTGATTTCTTGACTTGCTTCATTGAATGTTGTAAATCCAAGCAGAATGAAGTCTTTAATAACATCAATCTTTTATTCATTTAATAATGATGTTATTGGTCCAATTGTGAGGATTTTTGCGTTTTTTACATTGGGGTGCAATCCATACCGAAGGCAGTAGTCTTTGATCCTCATCAGTATTTTAAATCCTTTTTGCTTCCAGCAAGCAAGGTTTTGACATCAGAATATTGCAGATTGTTAGTGAGTCTTCCTCCAATCCAAATGCCACATTCTCTGTATGTTATTAAGTGCCATCCAGTCAGTCCTGACTCATAGCCACCCTGTATAGAGTTTCCAAGGAGCTGCTGGTGGATTTGAGTTGCCAACCTGTGGTTAGTAGTCCAGCATTTATTCTATAGTACCAAACCAGGTTTATAGGACTTCTTCATATAACCCAGGACTGTTTAGATGATCCTTGGATGATTTGGCATGCAGATTGAATATATATGGTGAATAGATACAACCCCGGTGCAAACATTTCTTGATTTTGAGCTATACATTTTGACCTTGTTCTGTTCTAACAACTGCATTTTGGTCTATATGTGTGTTCCACATGAGCACAATGGAATGTTCTGGAATCCCCATTTTATGCAATGTTAGCAATAGTTTGTTATCCACAGAGTTGAAAACCTTTGCATAGTCAATAAAGCACAAACAAACATCTTCCTTGTATTCTCTTTCAACCAAGATCCATCTGACATACAACCTCATAACCACATCTGCTTCTGGATCCAACTTGAGTTTTGGGTATCTGCCTGTCAGTCTACAGCTGCAACCATTTTAAAATTATTTTCAGCAAAATTCTACTTGCATGTGATAATGATTTTGTTTGGTGATTTCCAGATTTTTTGGGTCACCTTTCTTTAATAAAATGGACACAAATACAATCTTATCCAAGCAATTGGCCAGTTAATTGTTTACTATATTTCTTGGCATAGATGAGTGAGTGCCTCCAATGCTAAATCAGTTTGCTAAAACATTTCCATGTGTATTCTGTCAATCCTGGTGCCTTGTTTCTTGCCAATGCCTTCAGTGCACCTTGGACTTCTTTCTTTACCATCAGTT